TAGATTCTCCTTATTATCTCTGAACTTCTCCAACAAACCTCTCAATAAATGTATAACTTCCATAGTAGACCTTCCTGGCATAAATCCAAATCGATTATGAGAAATTTTTGTGATGCGTCTTAACCTATGTTCAATTACACTTTCCCATAATTTTAAAGTATGACACATCAACTTAATTCCTCTATAATTTGCAGACTCTTTTGCATCCCCTTTATTCTTAAAAATGGGGACCAAAATACTCTTCCTCGACTCCTCAGACATCTTTTTAGTTTTTAAAATAATATTAAAGAGTTTAGTAAGCCAAGAGACTCCCAAATCTCTCAAATATTTCCACACTTCAATTGGGATATCATCAGGTCCTACAGACTTTCCACCCTTGGTTTTCTTTAAAGCCTCCTAAACTTCTTTTTTTGCTAATGCAACGGTAAAAATGAATTTTTTTATTATTATTCGTGATATTAAGATCACTAAGGACGTTCGTATTTTCAGAAACTTCATTAAAAAGTTTATCAAAGTAACTCACCTACCTATGTTGAATATTTTTTTATAAGAAAAGTACTTTTTTATTTTCATATTTAATACACTTTACTTGAGTTAAATATTTACTTTTCTTTTCTCTTTGTTTGGCTAGTTTATACATATATTTTTTGCCCTCCTTAGTATCTAAAAGCAGAATTTTTAGTGTCACAGATTGTTCTTTTAGACTCCCTGCGGGTCGTTTTATATTTTTCTATATTTTCCTCAATTCTCTAAGCTTGTACATTTAAACTAATTTTATAACATAACTTCTTATATTTTATCTTTTCTTGCACATTTTTATTCCACCACCAACTATTTGTATTTATAAAAAATTTTCTTTTTGATTCTCTAAGTACATCTTTTGTTATATGTTTAATAGTGTTTGTTACTTTATCCCACATAAGTTTACTTCTTCATCAACTTCCCAAATCTTAAAATTTTGAAGTTTACTCATAGAAATAATTTTATTTGTGTCTCTTAGGTGTTCTCATATAATTTTATGGCAATGACTCATATTATTCTTTATTTTATAACTCTTCATCTTAAAATTCAGAACTAATAATCGATGTTGAGTACTTGAATTCTCACTTGGAATGACCTTACAATCCAATCGCGACGATCTCTTCTTCTCATAAGAAAATAATCAATTTGTGTTTTATTAGATCCACTCTTATAAGTAATAAAATGTTCATCTATTTTCTTGAATAAAGTATTAGTAATAACAAAATCATACGCTAAAGCAAAATCTAAAATAGCTCTACCTTCTTCATTAGTTACTCCAAAACCGTAGCCACCATGAATATTTCTGAAATCTTCTACCACTCTACCGACATGTCCATTTAAATCTCCTCCAATAAAAATTCCTTCTTCAATAGGTATCATTTGCATTAAGTGTTCTAAGTCATTCCAAAATTTATCTTTAGACACTGTATCTAAACCTACTTGAGGAACATAAACACTTATAATCTAATCATTTCTAACGCTAATTGTTAATCGCTTAATTAACCTACAAAATTTAATTTAAAATAACAATGAGCTAATCAAACAGGTGAAAACTCATACCCATAAACTACAATAATATAAGAGAAAAGAAAACAATATGCACGACCCGACCCGAGTTTTAGAGTTAATCAAGACGGGAATGGACCGTCAGACGATGGGAAATAAAATTTCGATGTTTAAATATTATAACTAGCTATTAACAAAATGAAAGTGTTACAAATTAAATGAATTAAAGTTGTATATTTAAAATTTTCTCATTATTGATTGTCCACATCTTCTATAAATGTTATCTCTTCTAACACTCATCGTTAATTGCTTAATTAGCCTAACAAAAGTTAGATTAAAATAAAAAATAGCTAAACAAACTGGTGAATACTTATACTCATAAATTACAGGAATAAAAGAGAAAAGAAAGTTATATGCATGTCAGTTAAGTTTTTAATAAATCAATAAAAACTTTTGATGATATTCAAAGATATTTACTATGTCAATAGTATATCAATATCATACTATATTTGTACAACCGTTAGAAGAGCATCATCTAAAAACTGTGTCAATTAAGACAAGTCAATATCCATATCACTTTTCATATACATGCACGGGTACCTTCGTGTTCCCTCACCAAGAACACTAATAAATGACTTCATCATAATCAAGCATACATAAATAATCATAATATATATATATATATATATATATATATATTTATATATATTATAATTCAAAATTTCATATCAGTCAACATGTCATATATAATGCATCATTTATTTCATAATATGTGACTATAAGCAACATACCCAGATGACCAATAAGGTTTAATAATAGAAAAATAAATTTCATTAATCACGCATGAATAACAATCCATACAACCGATTTAGAATAACAATAAATACGGTATAAAATTTATTTAATATTTTAAATAAGTTATTAACATTTTCAGTATTCTATTATTTTAATTCATCTTTTCTTTGTAATTAATATATATTATATATATATATATATATATTGTGTCGCTGGTTGCATCACAGATATTCAGTTAAGTTCCCGTAATCGCAGGCTTCGTCGCCCTCAACCTCCGTCACCGGTGCAACAATGAGTCATATGCATAGCCGCGGCAAGGGTATTTCCTCTTCGACTTTGCCTTATAAGAGAACTCCTCCGAGGATGTAGAGGAGAACATTTGCAAGTTAGCGAAAAAGGGACCGACGCCATCACAAATCGGTGTAATTCTTTGCGACTCTCACGGTATTGCTCAGGTAAAGAGTGTGACTGGAAGCAAGATTCTCAAGATCCTCAAAGCGCACGGGCTTGCACCGGAGATTCCCGAAGATCTGTATCATCTGATTAAGAAGGCCGTTGCCATAAGGAAGCACTTGGAAAGAAACCGGAAGGATAAAGACTCAAAGTTCCGGCTTATTCTTGTGGAGAGCAGGATCCATCAGCTGGCTTGTTACTATAAGAAGACGAAGAAACTTCCACCAGCGTGGAAATACGAGTTTACGACGGCAAGCACGCTTGTGGCATAGGAGCATTTTAGTGCATGCTTTTTTCGACGTGGATCAACCGATGAGCCGTTTCCTCCTTTCTTACGACGGCCCCTCGCAACTGCTTTTGAGAAGTTAATAAACATGGATATTCATTTTGTTGCGTTTGTTTTGATTAGATTTTTTTTACTCTCTTGGCTGCTATGACAATAATACTTTTATTATGATTGTGTGGCTTTGGAGAGTCTAATTCTATATATATATATATATATGTGTGTGTGTGTGTGTGTGTGTAAGTATTAGTGCGCAACTGGTGACCTGTTGGTTGACAGCTTCGACGTAAGTCCCCTCAGTCCCTAATTCGAATCTCTCTGGATCGATTAGCACATTTGGGGTGGACAGACACATCTTGTCGTTCATCCTTTTTAATATATATATGTATGGATGTATAAGTATTAAAATTCCTATTAAATGTTTTAATTAAAATTATTATACTCACCTTATAATCCTTTTGATCAACCGAGCCTTATCGATCGCTCTAATCACTCGAGAAGAAGCCTCTCCCTTCCCCACACGCGATTTCGATCCTCAGCATTGGTTAGACTCCCTCCCGCACGAGTTTCCTTTACTATAGTCAACACTGCCTTCTTCTATACAGGAAAAGCTCGGCTTCCTCTTCATGAATTTAGCCTACATCTTTTTCCTCCTTTTCTGTTTGATAGTGACTTTGACTCCTCGCTCTCTGTCGATGTCACGACTCAATCAAGCAGTGAAAGTCTGTGCGCCGAGCTTGATATAATCTGAATTTCAATTCAACTAAAGGCAATTCAAATATAATTAGATTCAGACGGGGCCTGACTTAAATCCAGCAAATTTATAGGTAGAAACTCTGCATGGCCTGTTTTCAAACTCAGAATCTTGAACTGTACTTTATAAGTGCCAGCAAACACAAGAATAGTAAGACAGGCCTGCAAGTGACAAAATAGAGGAAGGGATAATGTTAAGGTGAATGGTGATGCCAGTGGGGAAAGGAAGTCCAGAGAACCACAGAGACTTGAGAAATTTAGTAGGATAGAAAGGGGCCAGTGGTTGGCATAAGGATGCAAATGATTAAAGGATCAAGAAAAAAGAAATGGTATCTAAATTTAGGCTTATATTTCAAGATAATACCTAGAACAAAAGATTATTCATAGATTCCTAATTACCCTCAACAACAACAAAACTATCTAACCCATAAAGCTGTATGACAGTCTATCAAATTAATCAGCTTAGTCACCCAATAAAGCTACGCTAAGCAATAACTGGAGCACATTTACTGAACGAGCTCACTCCCACTCACACTCATCCTGTGAGTACAACTCAAAATAAAAATCAGATTAATAAGTCAAACTCTACTACTCTAGTGAGTTTCAACTTTGACCCCTAGTAAGAAAAGTAAAAGGACATAACAAAAATGGCAATATAGAGGATGGTCTGAATTCCAACTGGGCTTTCATTGCACTTAATACATAATCACCAATATTCAAGATAAATAAAAAGCAGAATAATCCCAAATCCAATAAAGCCGCTTGACTAAATTCCTTCCTACATTTTTATTAAGTAAAAGGAGCGACCACTATAAACGGAGTAAAGCAGCACAAAAAAATTTGATGACCATTAACTAAAACCAAGGTAAATTTGACAAAATTAACAACATTGTAACAAATAAAAACACGCAAAACACTGCATTATAAAGCGTATCTTTAAGAAAGCTTATTAGATGAGATATGAAGCCCTAAGCAAACTCGGATCACAAAATAGTGTAAAAAATGAAGGTACCGCAACAGTCTCTTGACGAAGATGCATCGAAGAAGATTTCTCAGAAACATTGACAGTCTGCACAATAAATTTTGGAGATTATTTGAAATAATTTCAACAAAAAATAAAAGATAAAAAGGTTAAAATGATCCATAGATGATTTGTGAAAGGCCGTTTTAGTTTAACTATTCAATGTGTTCAATTTAGTTCATTGAACTCCTCACATATGATTCAAAATAGTCTATCTGTTTAGATTAATTTTGATCATATTTGTAGGGATAAGAGACTAAATTGGACACATTATATAGTCTAGGAATAAAATGATCCCACATAAAAAGTTTAAGGACCATTTTGACCCTTTTTTTTTTTTTTTTAAAACAAAGATTCAAAAATTACGAATACGAAAATATGACCTTCAAAGACAAAAAAAAATTGCCCACGAAGATAAACCATTTTATGAGAGAATATGGCTAAGAGAAACATTTTAAAATACATTAAAAAAAACATGAAGAAGCTTCCATTTCATTGTCTGATATAATTTTTTGAAGTTGATGAGACCTCAAACAAAACATGGAGGCAGGGCCGAAACCAGCCTCTGTTTTGAGGGCGAGAAAATTTATAAAATTAAAATAATAATAATAAAATAAAAAGATAGTACATTATTCAAAACAAAATCTTTTGTTTATAATCGATAAATTAAATAATAATTACAAAAAATTCAACATGCTTGGTATAATAATTATGTTAGGTATTCTTCAAATTATTTTGAATTAAACTTTTGTGTAACATTATCTACCATTGATTGAGAAAAATAATAAGTTATTGGCTGATGGGGTCCCTTCGGCACATATCCTCATCAAATTCAATCATTTTCATTAACATTGCAACTCCAAATCAGAGGTCAAAGCCCAAGATTAGTTGGAAAATTGTTAATATCAATCCGATCCATTTAAGGTATTTAATAAAAAAATGAAAAAGAACCTAACAAATAAATTTAGTTGTTAATTTCCATGCGACCAAAATAGTTTTGTTAATATAAAGAAAATAAAAAATATATTCATGGAAAAGGAAAATCTAAAGCTTCAATTTTTGCACTAACAAACTTATACCGGAATTAACCTAAACCACGATAGAAAAAATAAATATTATAACTAAAAAGTAAATAGACAGTTACAATCACACACTTGAAAGGGAAATTACAACGAGCACAACACGAACTCACACTAGGACTTGACCCATAGGTGGTGAAGGTCGGCTAGCTGGTTGGGACAGCCAAATGAGGGGTTGGAATCGCATTGGCTGCGAAGCAGTATCCTGGGACGGAAGGGCAGCAGATGAGGAAGCAAGCGGAGCAGCAAGGTGAGGTAGGAAAGGCTGGAACAGCCTGGGGACAGCAGGAAAACAGTGGGTTTACAATTTTCCAGATGACAACAACAAAGGGGCAAAGTAGGGGACTACAGGGCAGCAAGAGGTGGCTGTCTGAGACAAAGGCAGCGAGCAAGAAGGGCTGGAATGGAAAGACTGCAGTGAAAAACAACAAAAGCTGCTATCCTGGAGGCGACTGCAGTAGAGAAGGGCAACATGGAGCGGCGGGAAGCAATGAGGGAAGGATAAATCATTAACTCGGGAGTGAGATATGTCAGAGCACCACTCGACCCTTAGATATAGCCCTCGAAGGGAAAAACGGACGACGACAGTTGTCCTGACAGAATTCTAACCTAAAACACAAGAAATAAGATATAAATAGTCTTAGGGTAAATAGGAGTGGGCCCCAGTCCAAATAGAAGGGAAATCCACGTAAAGGAATGGTCAACCGGTCCAAGCTGCGATCACTCGCGGAAGTTTTCTGTAGCAATGGATGCAGTGTCTCCTTGTTGCTCCTGTGTTAGAAAGTCAAATAAAAAAATTTAAGAAGCATGGTTCAAGACCAAGAAGCGAAGAAAATACAGGTTAAGTATCTCTCATACTAATCAAGACTTTTGAACATTGGCAGTCCATCATGGACTCTCATCAAACAATTTGTCATAAGAAAGGTGACGTGGGAGCGTCATATCAGCCGCAGGCGCGACAAATGTCGCACACAACCGGCTCTATAGTGGTGGGAGAGGGATCGAGCGATCCTTCCTTGTGCGCAATTCCCTACTATTTGGAGCAGAGCCCACTCCTCTTTACCCTAAGGCTATATATATGTTATTTGTTGTGTTTAGGTCATTTTTGCTTTATTTTTTCTACCTTCAGTCTCTTTTCCCCTTGCTATGGGTGTATCTGATGACAGGTGGTGCTCCAGTTGTATCATGCTCCAAAGTGATGATTACCTCCGCATATTTCCTTCTCTTTTCCCCTCATCTGCTTGATGTTGCCCTCCCTACAGCCCCTCCTTGTTGTTGTCACCTCTCCTTGCTCCTTCCAGGTTGTTGCCACCCTCCCTACATTGCACTCTTTTTGCCAACCAGACCAACCCGGCTCCTAATGCTATCCAGCTGCCAAGCTATCTTCTTCTCACAGGCATTAAAACTCTCGACCATCTACCGCTCTCCGTGTCCACTACCCCGATACGTAGCCTAGCACCTTCGATCCTTGACCAAGAGAAATTTTTATGTTCTTGTTGGTGTTTTCCGATTTCCAAGCATCTTCGTTTGCAATCACTTTTGAATTTCAGTAATAATATATTCATTTCGTTGTCGTTATGGGTTAACTCCGGTATCAATAAGTAGTAGATCCATTAATCAAACAAAAACAATATTAAGTAAATGAAAAGATCAGCAAATGGAAGGCTGTAATTATGAAGTTGTTAATGCAAAATTTGAAATAGAATAACATAATGAAATTCTCAATATAAACTTATCAAGTTTTTATATACAGATAAATTGAAGTTTAAGGATGTTGGAAACTTCTGCTTTAAAAAAAAACAGTTAAATGTACTTATCATAAGCAATGTCATTTAGTCGTTAGGCTTAGTTTTATTATTAACTTTGCATAATGAAAAAAAAAGCTTAAAACTAGTTATTTACTTATTTTCTTTTATGCAAAACGTTTTTATTACTATTTTTTTCTCCAGGTGGGACAATTGCCTGTATGTAAATATATTTGAGTACTTTTATATTGTTATATAAAAAGTAAAAAATTCATTTGTTTTCTCCTTTTTCCAGTAAATCTGAAGCTTGAGCCGAATCTATTGGCAGAGAGCAGATTTTGGATGTAGGTATTTAGGAGGGAATTAGAGAAAGAAACAAGGAAAAAGTAAGAGAAGAGGGGAATTTAGGCCTTAAGGAAGGAAACCCCAGATATTGTTCTATTTCTGACAGTTTATATGGGTGGAACTCATTTCGAGGCAAAAATTTCAATTTGTCATTGCTAGGATTTTTGTGTCTAGAAGTGCACTCGCTGTCACACCCATGCCGACCCCCAAAGATCAACCAGAGGTATAACGAGGAAGACAATTTAACCGGACTCAACTTTCACTAACACGCATCCTGGCTTGTACTCACTGAGTGAGTGAAGAACTCGTCTTATTAAAATTTTTACCAATTAAACTCTTACATTTCAATTCTTCAAACATTTATTAACAAATTAAATAGCATAATCGTGTACAAAGCAATCAATAGATAAAAAACAGAGCTTCTAAAGAACTTCAATACATAGAATCATACGCACCCAAAAAGTACATCTGTATTAAATATTACAGTTTCAGAAGCACCTAAGATTGTAAAGCCAAAAACTATACCTGACTACATGATCCATATATTCATTTCCCATTTTGAAAACCATCACTGAAATAGCTGGTGAGTCGCACTCAATGAGATAAACATTGTGAAAATAAGATTCAAACTTACGAGAAAGATATAACATGTATGTTGATATGAGATTAACACGAGTAATTCATTTATAATCACAATTGACTTAGTGCACAGTAATAATGAATAAACAAGTTCTAATACATGAATAATAAAGATAACATGATTATAAGTAATAAATGCAGCAATTTAAGAAAACATAAAGTTACTAACTAATCTTTTAACTCGTTATACTAAGTAATGTCATATATGCATTTATTTTTTTTATTTTAATTCATGTTTTCGGCTTTCTTCATCTTAGAAATGTAAAATAAGCAAATGTTCTCGCATTATGAACGAATGTGGGCAAAGAAGTTAGACTATAAAACTAATAATAGAATATGATCTTGAAATATTAATATACTCACTCGTAAATGAGTGCAATTAGTAGATATTATGTTTCTCAAAAAGAAAAATAACTTATGCATTCAAGAAACTAAATGGGTTGAAGAAAATGTTAAGAAGATTCATAGCTTAAGTTTTAATTTTTAGTATTTTGGTAGGAGTCGTACTAAAAATGATGTAAACATAACTATAGATAAATGTTTGAAAGATAATATTGTAAAAATTAATAGAATTAGAGATATAATTATAATCATAGAATTGTCGTTGATATTAAGTTTCTTAATATTACAAGTACTTATGCTCCTCAAATAGGTTTAGATGTTATAAAAAAAAAATTCGAATGACCTAAAAGAATTAATACAAATGATACATTCTAAAGAAAAATTTTAATTGGCGGAGATTTAAATGGACATGTTGGTAGAGTGATACAAATCATCATCATCATCATCATCATCATCATCCTCATCCAAAATTATCATAGTTTCGATGTACCCCTAAACGAAATCAAATTTGAACACAAGTGGACTCATTTGAAAGGTTTTGACGATCCGGATGTACTCATGCAATTCGTTTTGTGAAACAACGCTCTAATGAATATTTTTATGTATGACCAATTTTAAGCATGATAACTCAAAGCGCAAAATTTCATGTAAAACATGGTATTCAACCGTCGTCACACTTGTTGCATTCTTTTTAATACATAATAATGAACATGATGTAGCTTATGAAATAAAATTTCGAGCACTAAAATAATTTGTGCAGACTATAATAGATTTAGGATCTATTTAGGAAAAATTGTTATTCAATTTTAGATTGTGATTTGGATTCATTATATTAAATTTCCATTTTAATTAAGGCTAATTTTAATTTTAGTTCAAGTGAATATTAGATTTGTATTTGAATTAAATAATAATTTTAATTTTAGCTTAAGTGAAGCACAAGTCCCAATTGAGCTAAGCTAAGCAACCACCTAGTGACACTAGTAATAATGGGCCCTAGGTCTAGATGTCCCTAAATCTGTAAGTCAAAAGAGAGGTTGACCAAAAAAATGGGGTCAATACCAACAAGCATTTTCAATGATTGCATATGAGAAAAAAAAAAGATTTGCTCAAAAGATTAAGCAAGGTTGGCAAATGAACGCGAAAATTTTATCAAATGTAAACAGGAAAGAGCTTAAGGTGATATAAATGTTAAAACGTCAAATCAAATTAAAAAAAAATACTGAAAAAAAAGGAAAGCTCAGCCATTACTTTTCCACTTACAGTTCCTTCTAACATTTTCAATAAGGCCTGCTGGACACCTTCGCCAGATACATCTCGACTAATGTTAAAGCTCTCACCCTGCAGCATGAAGAAGAAAAATGAGATTTTTTATAATTAAAAATAAATATATATAACTCAACAGCTTGATAATTTATAGAACCTTCTTTGTTATTTTATCAATTTCATCAATGTACACAATGCCTTGTTGAGCAGCTTGGACGTTGAACTCAGCCACCTAATTTCAAGAAAACAAAACTGTTTCTTAAAGACATGAAATACCCAAACGGAAGGGCCAGATAACTCACGAGATCAGAATAAGCCATACATTGATTGTAAAACCCAATTTCTAATTATTGCAAAACACCGCTGTCGGTCAACTTTTCAATAGATTTATTTGAAAAATATGAATATAAAAATAATTTTTGAAATTTAATTTAATATAATAGATATATAGTTTGGATTTTGAAAGTAGTATGTTTTAATTTTTGAAAAATGAGACCAAATGGATCTCATTCGTCCAATAGTTTGCATAATCGTGCCCGATACCGCGAATACTACACCCTCAAAAACCTCGGCGATAAACTCAATCCTGCAAACTAAGAGATTTGTGACATCTGTTTGGTCTGCGAATCTTTTTATGTTTGATCGACAAGTTCCCCTATCTAATACAAAGATTAAATAGAGTTTATTTTATCTGGGTTCCAAGTTCCCTATAGAGGCAAGCTCCTATAGTTAATTACATCTCAAGTGACGGGAGTCACTTGAGAATGGGAAGTCAGTTGAGAAAACTCTCGATAATGATCAGTGGTTATAGTCTTCAAGAATTCAAGGTTCAGGGTTTCACGGTAGGACGTGGAAAGGCAAATGAGAGTGGCTCCAATATGAACAATTATTTTAGGAGTCCAAAGGAAGGAACAGGTAGGGGATGTCATAGATCCTGAGGAGAAACCTCAGTGACATCCCAGACTATCCTACTGTGTGGCTGCATTTTTAGAGAAGATGTTATTTGAATGTTCAATTCTGCCAATTTTATTATTTGAGACTTACATTTGCATAATACCCGATTATGCAAATAGCCCACAGAAATAAGAGGGTTTACGTCGTGTCACACGACAACCTCGAAACCTAAGGCGAGTTAGGACTTACGCTGCACAACATGGTTGTACAGAAGCCTAAAAAGGGAGTGTGGATTTACGTAGCACTAGGCGAGCTACCTCGAAGTCCTGTCGGATGTTATTATGCTGGGAAGGGATAATGTTGAAGAAGATCCTCTTGTTGCTCGGTCTGAATTCCTCGCCATGCTGCCCACAAAGTTGGCTCCAAGCTCCTATCGTCGCGACGGCTCCAGAGTTTAAGTGTTTGAGATTAGCAGTTTACGCTTCACAGTTTTGGTGTCAATGTTTGGTTTTGTTTTGTTTCAAGTTTGGATTTGCATGCAGAGTAAGCAAATTGCAGGAAAATAAAATGTACTTGAAAGGTAAAAATGCAGTAAAGTAAAATGTTGTAGATAAACTGTAAAAGTGTACATGTGCATCTGCTACTGTTACGTTATTAATGTTGCGAGCATAGTATGATTTGCAGTATATTTAAACATACTTGCAAGAAAAATAAATAAGGCAAAAAAACCCGCATGAAAGTCATAAAAAAAAGTAGTAGAAATCACGAGCAAAAGAAACCTGTAATCACATATGACAGCTCAGGACTAGGTATAAGAAATTGGTAAAAGTGAGGGCTCAGAGCTAAGCTGTGTGCTTCCCGACCTTGAGTAAGAGTTGTCAACTCGATAATCTACAGGAGGTAGTTTTTAACCTCAATTCAAATGACTAACCATGAACTTTTGTAAATTTTCATAGAAAAATTATTTGATTTTCATGCAAAAGTTGTTGTTTAAGTCTTTTTTATGCAGAGTTCTTTTTAACATGCAAAAGGGATTTTATTTTATTTTCGTAAATATTTTTGTAAAGTCTTATATTCCACAGACTAGTTACTCTAATCGTGCTAGAACTACTGACATTATAACTACTGACAACCTAAGAGTGTCAAGGGCAACGATCCCACCAAGAATCGGCAAATAGTATCATGGGTCATTCCCTCTCCCTTATTGAAGATCCTTGAGGTAGGAGATACTATTCTAATAATCTCAGTTCGTATCCCCCGTTTAAGCACACATAAACAATGTCATCATCGCCCTCACCACCTAGACCCAGACTTATCCTAGTCCGATGATCCATATGCGTTAAGAAATTTCTCCAATTGTCAGAAGGATTTGAGTGTAATATCCAAGCTTAAATCCCGGTGCACTGGGTTTTATTGTAGGTTAAGTCATTTTGGGAATTTCACTATTGATTTAATTAAGGAAACATGAACTACGTCTCGATGCATCCTGGTGTCTAGTGTCTTGATCAGTTTGTGAATCGGGGTCAAGTGCCAAGTTTCATTATTTATTCAAAAATTAGGTGGATGAACGCTCACATAGGATGTGCTTCTAAAATCTAGGAAGTCTATGCTGAGAATTAGGTGGATGAACTCTCACCTAGAGCGTGCTCCTAAAATCTAGGAAGCCTATGTTGAGTTAGGTGGATGGATTCTCACCTAGGGTGTGCTCCTAAAATCTAGGAAGACTATGCTGAGGATTAGGTGGATGGGCTCTCACCTATGGTGTGCTCCTAAAACTCTAGGAAACCTACTCTTTAACTTATGCTTAAGGTGATTTAAGGTTTTCTATATCTTCCAATTAATTAAATCATCAATCCCCATCTTTATGACTTAACATTTAAAAATAAATAAAACTAAAGGAGGTCGAACCACTTCCAAAACTAGTAAAGCCAAAGCGGGAGAAAAGCAAGTGAATCAACTTAAAAAAACTTTTAAATTCTTTCAATATTGTAATTAAATCGGCCCTCAAGAGGAGTGTTTAAATCTACTCCAAGACAATGTTTTGAGCGGTCCAAAATAGCAACTTTTAAAGTTTCCAAATCAACATGTAAATCAGTGCTTAAATGATGCCCAAAACTGCTCTAAACAACAATTTTAAAATTCCCAAATAGCTCTCATGTAAGCCCAAAACATTAATTTTAAATGTTACAAAATTAGCTAGAAAAACTAGCCCAAAATAGTGACAAAGTCTCCCTAAAAAAAGGTACATTTAAAGCTCCTGAAAACTGCAGCGAAACCAGTCTGAACCCGTCCCAAAATAACCCTCAAACATCACTTAAATTGCCTCAACCAGCTTTTTTTTAAATGGACCCAAACAACACTTGTAGAAACTCCAAAACAGTGAAATCGAAGAGCCAAAACAGTGCTATTTAGTGCTTCCCAGCAGCAACAATATGACTAGAATACGACAACATTTAACTCTTCCCGGCAGCAGAAATACAAGACAAACAAAATAACATTTTATTTTTCTAAGACCACAAGTTTATAAGACTTAAAACAGCATCTGTCATTTCGAAACTTTCAATTCAGCAAGTAGACATACAAATACTGAAGCTTATGTGTATTGTAAAAGATAGGTAAATGCATTATCTTGTTGCAACATAAAATATTTGAGTGCTATGCATACTCATGTGAAAGTTTGAGGCAATAGACATGTAAAAGCACATGGATTGAGTGGATGTTTATGCAAATTTTCCTAACTCGTAGATGCATGTATTGCATAAATAAAATGAGCGGTACAGGAACAAAACAAGAATTCGTTACTTAGTTGCTACAATCGCTAAGGTTCTGCACTACAAAGCTTTTCAGAAGCTCTGGGGAGTTTTGTGTTCCTCCTACCTCCAATGCGGGCGAGGGAGGGTCAGTTGAGTGAGGCGGGCGACTTTGATGCGGACGAGAGGTGAGCGGGGCTTCGGCGCTAAGAAAGGAGGGAGTTCGGTCGAGCACGAGTCCCGTCGCACAGAGGAGAAGCGAGAGTGAGCTTCTATCGGGAGCTGCGATCGAGCAAAAAAAGCAATATGCATGCTGGTCTTTCATATTTCTGATAGCAGAGTTAACCAAAAATCGCAACAGAATGGAAATATTATTGTTGAAATCCAAAGAGGATTACAAACAAAAACACTTGAAAATAGAAAAACAAATCAAAAGACTACCAATGGCGAGGATCGAGGGTGGAGGGTTGCAGTCGAGGTAGTTGAAACAAGGAGCAATAGGTGTCAGAGAGGCTTCACGGCAGCAAAGGGTGGCGGTTTGGCGACTAGACATCAAACAAGAGGATGTGGGAAGGTGCGGCAGCAAGTAGCGTTTATAGAGGGTGTGACAACATGCAGCGGCCATGGAGGGTGCGGCAACAAGTAGCGGCTATGGAGGGTGTGGCAACAAGCAAGAGAAAGCGAGAAACATGCGGTAGCGAGCAACAACTATGGAAGGTGCGGAATCAAGCAAGGGGGGGCGCGAAAGGGGAAGAACACAGGGAGAAAACCACCACCTCAGAGCATGATACAGCCGAAGCACCGCCTACCCTCGGATACAGCCCTAGCTAAAGATAACGATGGCGTTGGCAAACTTCTGAAAAATAAAATCTAACCTAGAACAAAGAAAATAACATATAAATAGTCTTACGGGTAAAGCAGAGTAGGCCTCGCTCCAAATAGGAGGGAACCGTGCGCTAAAAAAGTTTAGCAGATCTCGATTCCACCTAGATCGAGTCGAACCCGTGCGGCAATTGCTACTTCCTCCCGCATTGGGTCTTCCCCCCCCCCCCCCCCCCCCCCTTGGGGGCGCTTCGACCTCATCTATCGAAGTCAAAGCTTCCAGTTCCTTATAGCACGAAGTCAAATCAGCTAAATTGAATGTTGTCAAAATATTGTGGTCCCCTAACAGATCGATCTTGTAAGCATTGTCATTCAGCTTTTTGAAAATGCCAAAAGGTCTATTTTCCCTATGCTTGAGCTTCCCAAAGGATTCAACCTCTTAGTGTAACTTTTCTTTCTTCAACCTAATTCACTCTAGTTCCCTTTCTTGGAAGTTCACTTTCGTCCTCATTTTATTTATCTGCGCCTGGTAGTTGTGATCCTGTTTGGTGATCTCCTTTTCCACATCTTCGTACAACCTCTGAATCTCTTGCACCCTCTCTTTTGTATCCTCAATGATCTTTGATGTTAGAAGAATTGATATTAAGTCAAGTGAAGTGAGGGGTTGCACCACTACACGATCTCAAAAGGGTGCATCTTGTGATCTGGCTCGCGGATCTGCTGTAAGCAAATTTAGCGTGGGCTAAAATCAAATCTCACTAAACAT